ACTAAGCAGAAAAATATCTCAGACACTGATCACCATTATGGAAAAAAACTGAATCAGGAGAGGCGGATATATTGCACCTGCTTGAGTGATATATTCATTTCCTGTGGCTGCCTGCAACAACTCAGTGGCTTAAAACAACACACATTTATTTTCTTACAGTTCTGAAGGTGGGAAGCCCAAACAAAAATCAGTTTCACTGACTGAAATCAACCATTGGCAGGGCTGGGTTCCCTGAGGCTCTGTGGGAGAATCCGTTTCCTTGCCTCTTTCAGCTTCTGGAGCTGTGTTCCTTGTTTTCTTTGGCTCTGCCCCTTTCCTCCTGCAGTGTAGCCTACATTCTGTGTTACGTTGTCTCTGTTTCTGTCCTGCTGTTGGATCTCCTTGTAATGACATTTGTGATTATCCTTGGGGCACACTTCGGTATCTCAAGTGCCTTAACTTCATCACACTTGCAAAGTGTGTTGAACCCAGAGATCAAGGGCTCGGAGGTCTTTGCAGACCATTTTTCAGCCTATCCAGGGAGTGTTACAATTTAAGTTTTATTTTTTAACTTATTTTTGAGAGAGAGAGAGAGAGAGAGAGAGAGAGACAGCATGGGAGGGGCAGAGAGAGAGGGAAAGGGAGAATACCAAGTGGGCTCCACACTGGCAGTGTGGAGCCCGACATGGGGCTCAAACCCAGGAACCGTGAGATCAACCTGATGCTGATCAAGAGTGAGATGCTTGGGGCGCCTGGGTGGTTCAGTTGGTTAGGCGTCCGACTTTAGCCCAGGTCATGATCTCACACTCCGTGAGTTTGAGCTCCGCGTTGGGCTCTGTGCTGATAGCTCAGAGCCTGGAGCCTGCTTCGGATTCTGTGTCTCCCTTTCTCTCTGCCCCACCCCTGCTCATGCTCTGTCTCGTTCTACCTCAAAAATAAATAAAACATTAAAAAAAAATTTTTTTTTTTTAAAAGAGTGAGATGCTTAACCAACAGAGCCACCCAGGTGCCCCGGGAGTATTGCAGTTTACATCGATGAAAGGAGCTTTATGGAAGGTTTGAGGGAGAGGAGGGAGGAAGCCACACAGAGATCTGGGGGGAGAGCCACACAGAGATCTGGGGGGAGAGCCTTCCAGACAGAGGGAGCAGTGACCAGTGACCGCAGGGGCTGAGGAGGCTGGAGGAAGTCATTCTGAGGTGGGACCTAATTATCCCTGCCTCCTGGTGTTCAGCCCCTTGAGTAACCCCCTCTCCTTGACCGTGGGCTGGATGTAGGGATGTATTTTAGGGGATGGAGTTCAGCAAAAGTGATGGACTGTCCCTTCTGACACCAGATTACAAAAAGACAGTGACTTCTACCTTCTCTGCACCTCAATCCGGCGCCTCATGCTTCTCCCGATGAAGCCAGCTGCCTTCAGAGACGCCCGTGTGGCCGGGACCTGAAGGTGGTCCCCGCCACCAGCCCCCAGAGAAGTGAATCTTGGCGACAACCACCTGGTGAGCTTAGCGGTGGATTGCTTCCAAAAGAGGAAACTATCTGCAGCTGCTTGCAATTCCTGACCACAGAACCCGTGAGACGATGCTGTTGTCGCCCGTTACATTTGGGGGTGATTTGTTGTACGCATTGGCCAACAAGTGCAGGTCTGGCACCTGCACGGAAAAGCCAGGAAGCCAAAGTGTGTCTGGGAGGGGCGCTGGGGGGGGGGCGCAGGGGGAACAGTGGGAAATGACGTCAGGCAGGTTAGCAGAACACTTAGTAGGACGCCTGGCTCATGTCGGTCTGGTACTCAATTTCCTTTCATCATAATCTCAGTTTCATCATGTTCTTGGGTGGCTCGGTTGGTTAATTGTCCCTCTCTGATTTCAGCTCAGGTCATGATCTCACGGTCCATGGGTTCAAACCTGCTTGGGATTCTCTTTCTCTCTGCCTCTCCCCCATTTGCGCACTCTCTCTCTCTCTCAAAAAAAAAAAAAAAAAATTAAATAAATAAATAAACATTAAAAAAAAGAGGTATTTTATTAAAAAAATAAGATGTCCTTCCTCCTTCCCCCCCACTTGAATAAAGTAACCAGGGATAGCATGGGAGAGGCCAGAGATGGGGTCTGACCCAGTTGTGGGGGGGGGGGGGAGTCAGGGAGAGCTTCCTGGAGGAGGGGATGTCTCTGAGACCTGGAGGTGAGTTGAGGAATAGGAATGAGCAAGGGTAGGGTGGGGGAGATGGCATTGCAGGCAGAGGACATCGCTGGAGACAAATAGGAAGCAGGGGAGTAAGCAGCGAGATGGGGCTAGTTGCTGCATGGAAAGGCACAAGCCTCTTGGAAATGGAAATGGAAGGTGATGAGGGAGGTGGGGCAAGCTGAGGGCAAAATACAGGCTGGCACCCCCCCCCCAGGTGGAAAATGTGTGATATTCCCCAGACCTCCTGGCTCCCCATGAACAAAGGAAAGGGGTTTAAGTGCTTGCCACGGTGATTGTGGGAAACTAAGGCAAATGAAAACTTAAATTCCCTTACTACCTCCAGCCCATTGGCACGTCCTTGAAACGGCAGAGTGACCTCCCTCCAGGAGCTCAGCTGCCTGGATGATGACACTTTGCTGGGGGGCAAAAGGGAATCTTGGCTTAACATTATCCTGACCCCCCCAGGATCCTGTAAATGTATTTCTTTTATCTCAACTGCCCCAAGATACATGCTGGCAATCCTACTCCAAGTTTATTCCCCCCCCATATACATCTGAAGGGTCTCATGACTGAGTTTTGTTGTTGTTGTTGTTGTTGTTTACAAAAGGTAATAAATGGCGTTTCCCTAGCAACAGCTAGCCCCTCAAGGTCCCGGAAACCTTGCTTCCAGGATTCCTTTAGAGATGTACTATCTCTGACCCCCTCCCCAACCTGAGGGTAAATAATGAGCTACCCCTCACTTCACGACCCCAGTGCAGCTCTTCCTGCCCACGGGTCTTGTCCCGGTGCTTTACTAAAATCACCTTTTTGCACCAAAGACGTCTTTAAGGATTCTTTCTTGGCTGTCAGACACTTAACCGACTGAGCCACCCAGGCACCCCGCTTCCCCAGCCTTAGCCACTGACTGGCTCTGTTTGCCAGTCTCAAGGCACCCCCACGTGACTTATGGGTTCAGAACGCAAATTTGACTGTTTCCCTCCCCCCTGCTTATTTACTCTTTCCACAAATATTTATTGATGCCCTACTTTGTGCCAGGCACAGTAGCAAAGACTGCAGTATGGGAGTGAACAAAATGGACAAAAATCCCTGTCCTTATGGATCTGACCTAAACAAAATAAGTAAGTCAAATATTTAGCATGTCGGGTGGTCACACGGGCTCCGAAGAAAAATAAAGCAGGAAAGGCAGATATGGTGGGTAGTGTGTGAGGGGTGTGTGTGTGTGTGTGTGTGTGTGTAAGGGGTTAAGTTTAATTTGGTGCCACCGAAAGCAAGGACCTGAAGAATGTGAGGATGTCCAGACATATCAGGGGAAAGAACATTCCAGGCAGAGGAAAGAGCAGGTGCAAAGGCCCTAAGGTGGGATGTGCCTGGAGTGTTCTGGAAACAGCAAGGAGGATAATGTGGCTGAAATAGAATGAGCTAGGTGGGAGAGGAGGGGATTAGAGAGGGAAGGTGGGTTGGTGTGGGGGTGACAGAGGGGGGGGGTACAATCGTTACAGTTCTGTAGGCTGCTATCAAGATGTTTGGCCTGGCCCTGCCCCCTCCCTCCAGCTACATTCTCTCTACTCTCTCTCTTTGCTTCTCTCCTTCCAGCACGCAAGCTTCCTGTGCTTTCTTCTGGCCACAGAGATTTTGTGTACAATATTCCCTCTGGCTGGAACACCAATACCGTTTCCACTTCTCTCATGTATCCCCTTTAGTACTTTCTCGTACTTCCTGTCTCTATTCAAACCTCATTTCCTCCACAAAGGCTTTTCTGACCACTCCACAACCCGTTGTCAACAGCCCATTTTCTGTATGTAGCCCCTATGGTTTCCAGAATTTTTCCATCACAGCACTTGTCATACTAGTAACCATATATTCCCTTGTAGGTTTAATCTTTGTTCTTTGAGGACAGGAACAGGGGCTGTCTTGGCCACCTTTGTGTTTCCAGGCCCTAGCACAGTAGAGGTCCTATTTCTATTTGTTGAATAATCACACAAAAGCTGCTAGCATTTACTGAATGCTTAGTATGAGCTAAACCCAGTTTTAACTGCCTTATTTGGGTTTATTTAAGCATCATCTACATTGTAGATAATCTAATTGTTCCTACTTTGCAGGTGAGAAGTTAATTTGACCAAGGTCACACAGCTAATAGACAGTGGAGCCAGGATTTGGACCCGGGCATTCTGATTCCAGAGTCCACACCTTAGCCGACAAGCCACAGTGCCTTTGCATTACTGCCTGATGGCAAACAGTAGGCGGTCACTAAATGGGAGGAGTTATTTCTCCCCAGAAAAATCTAGGGCACAGCAGGGACTTTATAGATGCATGTTTTGTCTCGTGCAGCGAAGACATTCCTTAATCGTGGGGTCTGTAGGGGTCCCCAATTTTCCTGTCATTTCCTTTCGACTATTTGCTAGATGAACTAACTACGTAGATGCAGAGAGACCAAACAGTAATGAATGGGATCGATTATCTCGGTTCTCTCCCTTCATGTTTTGTTCTTGGCACTCTGCGATCCTCAGCGACGCCTCCGACACCTCTCCCCGGGTCCGCCCCGCTCCGTCCCCGCATTGCAGTGCGCATGCGCCTTATCCCCCGCCCCAGTAGAGTGACGGGCGGCTTCAGCCAATGGCGTCGTGAGAAAGGTGGAGCGGCACCTCGTGGACTCCCCACGGATCCCGGTCTCTGAATATTTATGAGGGAGGCGGGCCAACGCCGCTTCTTGCCGAGGCCGGCGCCATGAAGTGAGAGCGGGGTCGGGGTTCGCTGCTCGCCGGGGTCTAAAAGATGGGGGGGACCAGTGGGTGCGCCCGGGGCCCGGGCGGGGCGCGGGGGTGCGGGAGGAGTGGGGTGAAGTTAGTCGCGGGGACCCACGGGGCGGTAACGAGGACGGTCAGCGAGGAGATGCCGAAGGGACCCGCGGGTCCTGGGGAAGCGGGGGATGCTCGGGGGGACCGGCTCCCGGCAGGTAACTCCTCTCGGCCGGACGACAGGGGAGTGCGGGGGCTGGAGAGGGGCCCAGGGGGCGGGGGACTGACCCTGCCCCCCAACCCCCGCCGCCAGGCTCAACGTGGACGGGCTGCTGGTCTACTTCCCCTACGACTACATCTACCCGGAGCAGTTCTCTTACATGCTGGAGCTCAAACGCACACTGGACGCCAAGGTGGGGGGGCCCGGCCCTCGGCTTCCCACCTGACAAGTGGGACGGCCACGCGTGCCTCTAAGACTGAACTTTCTGGACGTCTAGGTTTTAGGAATCTGAGGTCCTGGGGAGGCCAGCGCTCCCCAAACTCCTGGCATCTAAAATAATAGTTCATAAAAGCAGCACCTAACATTTATCAGAGGCTGCGCTGCTTTAGAGCCGGCTCTCGGGTGGGAAGCCTGGACCCACAGCCGTGTGCCGTTGGGTGAATCACTTAATCTCCCTGTTGCACGCTTTTCACGTGTGTGAAATGGGCTTCGTTAAGACTGCCTACCCTCAGAGGTTAGTGTGCAGGTTGTTAGGAGTTAATTCGGTAAGTAAGGCAGCAGTTCTTAACTGGGGATGATTTTGACCCCCCGAGGCAGTGTCCGGAGACATTCCTGGTTGTCCTACTAGTGGAGGGGGGCGGGTGCTACCGCCATCTAGCAGGTAGAGGCCATGGACTCTGCTAAACGTCCTGTAGTGCGTAGGACAGGCCCCCTCACCCCACAGCCAAGTAGTATCTGACCCCCAGATGTCCAGAGAGCCTAGGTTGAGAGATTCTGATGGAAGACCCTTAGAAGCAGTGCCAAGGGCTCCTGGGTGGCTCAGTTGGTTGAACTTTCCACTTTGGCTCAGGTCGTGATCTCCGGACTCCTGATTTCTAGCCTCGCATCTGCTCACTGCTGTCAGCATGGAGCCTGCTTTGGATCCTCTGTCCCCCTTTCTCTCTGCCCCTTTCCCCCTTTGTGCGAGCACGCGCGCGCTAGTTCTCTGTCTCTCTCTCAAAAATAAATAAACGTTAAAAAAAAAAAGTAGTGTCACGCACAGAGTAAGTGCTGTAAAAGGGTTTGCTAAATTAAAAGAAAAGGCAGGTCACTACCTGTTACCATGCTAAATGTATAACCCTCAGTTTCTCATTAGTCCTCACAGTAATTCTGTAAGGAAGTGCTTAGTAGGCCCATTTTATTTATTTACTTATTTAAAAAAAATTTTTTTTAACGTTTATTTATTTTTGAGACAGAGAGAGACAGAGCATGAACAGGGGAGGGTCAGAGAGAGGGAGACACAAGTGGAAACAGGCTCCAGGCTCTGAGCTGTCAGCACAGAGCCTGACGCGGGGCTCGAACTCACGGACCACAAGATCATGACCTGAGCCGACGTCGGCTGCTTAACCGACTGAGCCACCCAGGCGCCCCTATTTACTTATTTTTAAAAAATTTATTTGCTTTTTAAAGTAATCTCTAGGGGCGCCTGGGTGGCGCGTCCGACTTCAGCCAGGTCATGATCTCGCAGTCCGTGAGTTCGAGCCCCACGTCGGGCTCTGGGCTGATGGCTCAGAGCCTGGAGCCTGTTTCCGATTCTGTGTCTCCCTCTCTCTCTGCCCCTCCCCCGTTCATGCTCTGTCTCTCTCTGTCCCAAAAATAAATAAACGTTGAAAAAAAAAATTTAAAAATAAATAAAAAAATAAAGTAATCTCTATACCCAGTGTGGGGCTCAGACTCACAACCCCGAGATCAAGAGTCTCATGCTCTTCCGACTGAGCCGGCCAGGCGCCCCTGGCCTGTTTTAGAGATGAGAATACCAAGATGGGTGAAGGCACTTGCTATGACCACTCAACAACAAAGAGGTGGCCAAAGTGGGGTTCACACCCACTGTCCCTGGGGCCTAGACTTTTAACTGCTGTTGTCCCTCTTATTTCAAGATGGTGGCATTCTGGGGGCAGTCCCCAGAGTTTGTGTCCCTGAAGTTCTGTCTGTCTCCGCATGCAGGGTCATGGAGTCCTGGAGATGCCCTCAGGCACTGGGAAGACTGTGTCCCTGTTGGCCCTGATCATGGCATACCAGAGGGTAAGTGACCCCTGGGCCCGTGGAGGGGGAGGCAGAGGGAAGGCATCCAGCAGGGGCTGAGCCCGTTGTCATCATCGGCAGGCATATCCACTGGAGGTGACTAAACTCATCTACTGCTCGAGGACTGTGCCTGAGATTGAGAAGGTGAGCCAGGGCCAATCCCCGGCCAAGGCCAAGGCCAAGTTCCGTAGGACTTGTTGGTCCCTCTGGTGGTTGCTCCTGTAGCTGGGGGGTGTTGAGTTTGAGAGGCTGGGGGAGGGGCGGGGCCAGGCTGGGCAGGGACTTGTGCTGGAGTCCTCCCTCCCTCCTTCACGGGAACAGGTGATCGAAGAGCTTCGAAAGTTGCTCCATTTCTATGAGAAGCAGGAGGGTGAGAAGCTGCCGTTTTTGGGGCTGGCTCTGAGCTCCCGGAAGAACCTGTGCATTCATCCCGAGGTGAGTGCCCTTTTCTTCCCTTTCCCCACGCCTCAGGGTTAGACCGCCATCCAACCAGGAATCCTAGATCCCTCGACCATACCTCTCAGGGTGATAGGCAGGGACCACACGCAGAATTCCCTCCTCACTCGTCAAACTCTGAGTCCTCGTTCGCGGCCCAAACACACATCCTCCCTAGCCTGAGAGAGGTTAAAAAAGGCACTTCCTGGAATCCAGCAGGCCTGGTTTCCTGGCTCTGAAACTTAATAGTCCTGTATTCTCGGATAGGTGGTTTCTATAGTCAGACTTCAGTCTCCCTTTCTGTAAAATGGGGGTAATTAGTTACCTGCTTCATATAGCTGTTGATAAGATTGGGCAAGGGGGTAGGGGGGCGGGTGAAATGGGCGAAGGGGGTCAGAATGTACAAACTTCCAGTTATAAAACACATAGGTCACGGGGTTGTAACGTATAGCATGTTGACTACAGTGAATAATACTGTATCATGTATTTGAAGGTTGCCGAGAGAGTAGATCTTAAAAATTCTCATCGTAAGAAAAAATTGTGGGGTGCCTGGCTGGGTCGCTCAGTGGAGCATGCGACTCTTGATCTCCGGGGTCGTAAGTTTCAAGCCCCGCATTGGGCATAGAGCTTCCTTTAAAAAAAAAAAAAAAAAAAAAAGAAAAAAGAAAAGGAAAAGAATTGTAACTATGTGGTGACAGATATTAGCTGACTTATTGTGGTGGTCATTTTGCAGTATATACAGGCATCGAGTCCTTACATTGTACAGCCTGAAACATAGTGTTGTATGTCCATTATATCTCAATAATTAAAAAAAGATTAAGGGGTGCCTGGGTGGTTCAGTCGGTTAAACTCAGGTTATGATCTCACAGTTCGTGGGTTCGAGCCCCGCGTCGGGCTCTGTGCTGACCGCTCAGAGCCTGGAGCCTGCGTCAGATTCTGTGTCTTCCCTCTCTGCCCCTCCCCTGCTGGCACTGTGTCTCTGAAAAATGAATAAATGTTACACATAAATAACTGACCGAGCGAGGTAATGTACGTATAGCCCTTAGCGTGTGCAAAAATCTAAAACATGACAAGTGACCATGCTATTTATATAATAAACTGTGACACGTAGAATATTACTTACTGTTAAGTTACGTTACAAAACCATCAGGGCTCACGGCCAAGCAGTGTTCTAAGCACTTTACGTGTGGTAAACGCGTGGAATATATATCATGACATTATTTGTGAGAACACGAGACATGATAGATGAGGTGGGTGATCATTAGAAGGAGCTCCAGCCTTGGGGCGCCTGGGTGGCTCAGTCGGCTAAGCGTCCGACTTCAGCTCAGGTCACAATCTTGCAGTTCGTGGGTTCGAGCCCCGCGTCGGGCTCTGTGCTGACAGCTCAGAAACTGGAGCCTGTTTCAGATTCTGTGTCTCCCTCTCTCTCTGACCCTCCCCCGTTCATGCTGTATCTCTCTCTGTCTCAAAAATAAAAAAATAAAAACGTTAAAAAAAATTTTTTTTAATAAAAAAAGTAGATCCAGCCTTGACAACTGATGAAATGGGAAGGGTGGGGGGAGGGTCAGCAGCCTAAGACGCTGCCCGGGGGCTGTGCTGGTGCCACCCGCAGAGGCTCAGAGGCTAGTCCAGGACAGTTCTCAAGGCCATCAGACCTCCTCTGATTCTTAGATTTGCCAAGGTTCTGGGTATTTTAGTATTTGTAAAGATAAAGCCGTTATCCTTAACCCACGCGCTAAAGATTCTTCAAAGCTTGATTTTTTTAAAAAAATTGAGGTGACATTGACATACAATGTTAGTTTCAGGTGGGCAGCGTAAAGATTTGGTACTTGTAGGGGCGCCTGGGTGGCTCAGTCGGTTAGACGTCCGACTTCAGCCCAGGTCACAATCTCGCGGTCCGTGAGTTCGAGCCCCGCGTCGGGCTCTGGGCTGATGGCTCAGAGCCTGGAGCCTGTTTCCGATTCTGTGTCTCCCTCTCTCTCTGCCCCTCCCCCGTTCATGCTCTGTCTCTCTCTGTCCCAAAAATAAATAAACGTTAAAAGAAAATTAAAAAAAAAAAATTTGGTACTTGTATAGTGTGCAAAATGATCACCATGGTTAAGTCTAGTTATATGTGTCACTTTATGTAATTCCAAAAAAATTTTTTTTGTCTCGTAATGAGAACTTTTCAGATCTCCCTTAGGAACTTGCAATAATGCAGTATGGTATTATGAACTATAGTCTCCGTGCTGTATGTTACATCCCTGGAACTCATTTATTTCAAACTGGAAGTTTGCCCTTTTTCATCCCCTTCACCCATTTCTCACTCCCCTCCCCTGGCAACCACCAATCTGTTCTTTTTTTTTTTAATATATAACGATTTTTTTTTTTTTTAATGTTTGTTTATTTCTGAGACAGAGACAGAGCATGAGCAGGGGAGGGGCAGAGAGAGAGGGAGACACAGAATCCGAAGCAGGCTCCAGGCTCGGAGCCATCAGCCCAGAGCCCGACGCGGGGCTCGAACTCACGGACCGCGAGATCGTGACCTGGCTGAAGTCGGACGCTTAACCGACTGCGCCACCCAGGCGCCCCAAGATTTTTTTAAGTTTATTTATTTTGAGAGAGAGCGCATGCAAGTGTGTGAATGGGGGAGGGGCAGAGAGAGGGAGGGAGAGAGAATCCCAGGCAGACTCCACACTGACCGAGCGGAGCCCAGTGTGGGGCTCGAAATCATGAACTGTGAGATCATGACCTTAGCTGAAGTCGGGATGCTTAACCGACTGAGCCACCCCGGTGCCCCAAGATTTTATGTTTTAAGTAATTTCTATACCCAGCATTGGGCTCGAACTCACAATCCCAAGATCAGTGTAGGAGTCTAGCAGTTGCTCTTCTGATACCTCCTCGGTTAAGTTCGCAAGCGTCTTAACTGTTTAATAAGGAAACAAATTGAGGTTCAAGTTTCCCCACAATTCCCGATTCTCACTCCAGACAGCCCCCCATCCCACCTAGCTGGTAGGTGTAGAGCCCCATGGTTGAGGAATGCGTGAGCTTCTTGGTGCTAAGATGCCCCCCGGCCGCCAGGTGATGCCCCTGCGCTTTGGGAAAGACGTCGACGGGAAATGCCACAGCCTCACGGCCTCCTACGTGCGCGCACAGTACCAGCAGGACCCCAGCCTGCCCCACTGCCGCTTCTACGAGGTGCCCGCCAAATGGGCTGAGGGAGGGAGGGCAGGAGGGTAAGCCGGCTGCGACAGCCGACCTCCCTGACCCCCCCCCCCCCCCCCCCCAGGAGTTTGACGTCCATGGGCGCCAGGTGCCCCTCCCTGCTGGCATCTACAACCTGGATGACCTGAAGGCCCTGGGGCGGCGCCAGGGCTGGTGCCCCTACTTCCTTGCCCGCTATTCGGTGAGAAGGCTGGGGGGCTGGGCAGAGGGGCGGGGGTGTGCGTTACGGCCTGGCTGCCTGTTTGTCGGTCTGTCTATCCATCAGCTCGTGTTTGTACCTGGCCTGGCAAGACCTGGCCTTGCGTCTACGAGCCCGTGAGGGAGGCGGGTGCCGGGTGGGGGAGGGGCGGGGGGGGCAGGGCCGGGGTAACCATGCCCTCCTTGGCCCCTAGATCTTGCACGCCAACGTGGTGGTTTACAGCTACCACTACCTCTTGGACCCCAAGATCGCGGAGCTGGTCTCCAAGGAGCTGGCCCGGAAAGCTGTCGTGGTCTTCGACGAGGCCCACAACATCGGTGAGGCGGGAGGCAGAGGAGAGGAGAGACTCAGCCCCTCCGGCTGCCCGCCTGAGCCCGCCTCTCCCCCGTCTCCTCTCTAGACAACGTCTGCATCGACTCCATGAGTGTCAACATCACCCGCCGGACCCTCGACCGGTGCCAGGGCAACCTGGAGACCTTGCAGAAGACGGTGCTCAGGTGGGGCCTCGGGCGGCTGCTGGACCTGAACGCCCACCCTGCGCCCTGCCGTCTGGTTCCCAGCTTCTCCCGGGCCCCCGCTTTCTGCCCGACCTACTCCCGGGGACACCGGGCCTATCCCAGTGCCCCACCCTACCCCCCAGACGTCCCCCACTCTTCCCACACCCGATCTCCCCTCCCCCCTGCCCAGGATCAAGGAGACCGATGAGCAGCGTCTGCGGGAGGAGTACCGCCGCCTGGTGGAGGGGCTGCGCGAGGCCAGTGCGGCCCGGGAGACCGACGCCCACCTGGCCAACCCCGTGCTTCCCGACGAGGTGCTCCAGGGTGAGCTGCCGCTCCCTGCCGCCACCTGCCCCCGGTCCCGCTCTCCCCGTGGTGGTGGCTGATTGCGTCTCCCCGCAGAGGCGGTTCCCGGCTCCATCCGCACGGCCGAGCACTTCCTGGGCTTCCTCCGGCGGCTGCTGGAGTACGTCAAGTGGCGGCTGCGGGTACAGCACGTGGTGCAGGAGAGCCCCCCCGCCTTCCTGAGCGGCCTGGCCCAGCGTGTGTGCATCCAGCGCAAGCCCCTCAGGTGCGGCCCCCCACGGCTGGGGGCGTCCGGTCCCCGCAGGGGTTCGGGGCCTCCCCGAGCCCCGTCCTCTGTGCCCGGGGCCGCGCCGCGAGGCCGGTGTCAGGAGTGAGTGACGGGCGCAGAGCGAGCGTGTGCGCTGACTCGGCAGACCGGGCAGATCCCCGGGGAGGTCGGAGCTGGCCCCGTGTCCCTGTGTGTGTCGGGCCGGAAACCGGCAGGCAACGCGTGGCTTAACCAGAGAGCTTGATGGAGGCGCGACTGACAGAGGCGGGCAGGGCAGGAGGTCCGACAGGGGTCCTGGACCCTCGTCCGGCTCAGGTATTTCCGCCTGAGGCCACGGTGGCAGGGGAGGGACGGCCCCGGAGGGGGCTCCTGACAAGCTCCAGCAGGGTGGGAGCTGGGGGGAAATGCTGTAGGTCCCCTGGACCCCTGTCGCCTCCTACTGGTGCTTGTCTTCGTCCCCAAGAAGCCTGACGGCAGGGACCAGGAATACCCCCCCCCCCCCAGCCAGGCAGTCTGGCGGGGATGATCCCTAGCACGGAACAAGCGGAGGATGGACCTGGGAGAGGGGTGGGGCCTCCTGTACTTTCCTTGGGCCGTTTTGCATAAGTCATTTGTCTTCTCTGAACCTCAGTTTCCTCTTTTGTTCCAACGGGTCGGAGGGCCGTCACGTTCACTCCCGGGTTTCTGGGGTGGTGAAATGAGAAAGCACTGACCGAAGTAACTTACTTGCCCTGTCTTGAGCACTGGTGATGAGCTAAGCACTTCACGCTCTGCATCTTGTGGGAGCTCAGGAGGGCGCTCCTGTGCTGCAGAGGTGGACGGTGTGGCCTAGAGAGGGGAAGCCACTGCCCGGGGTCACCCGGCACTTTGTGGGCCAGTTGTGCGAAGCCAGGTCCTTAGGGCTCCAAAGCCGCTCACTGCCCTGCCTCTGAGGGGCTGGGGCGGCCCTCGGGGTGGCTCTGTCTGTCCCCAGACCAGGATGACCAGGGTGAGCATGGCTGGGATTGGGTAGCTCAAAGGGGGCGCCTGATCTAGCCGGGGTGGGGACGTACAGATGACAGACTTGAAGCGGTGGCATTCGGAGGCAGGTTCTAAAGCTCTGAGCATCCACCGGGCTCTGAAACCAGGCGTTCCCGCTCCATGACCTGCCCTTGAGGGGCGACAGCCTCAAGCCTGACCATCGGTCAGGTGACTGGGTGGCCTTGTGTGTGAGGGCTGGCGACACGGCGTATGTGAGATTGTTCTCTGTGAGTACGCGGGGCTCTGATGCTTGGATGTGCCACCACGGTGGCCAGGTGTGACCGACACGGTGTGACAGGTCGTGGGTGTGAGTGCGTGCAGCCGTGCAGGATTCGGGCTGTGACTGGGATTCTGGGTGTGCTCGTGGGTCTCCTCTTTTGACCAAGAGCCTGCACGGGGTGGTGCGGCCGTGTGTGACGTATGATCGCGGGACTCTGGACGTATGACGCGTGACTTCTCTGCGTGCGCTATCCTACGGCTGTGGCTCTGCGTGATGGGCACTTGTATGGTGTGGGGACACGGGGGTGACTGAAACAGCCCCGGTCTCTGCCCTCACGGAGCACCCGCTCACCCGGGGAGACCGATGTGTGACCGAGTGCTGGCGAGGGCGGAGGAGGTCGCTGGTCCTGTTGGCTCTCTGCCGCCACCCTGACCCTGTCCGGCCTTTGCACCAGATTCTGTGCCGAACGCCTCCGCTCCCTGCTGCACACCCTGGAGATCGCCGACCTCGCTGACTTCTCTCCCCTCACCCTCCTCGCTAACTTCGCCACCCTCGTCAGCACCTACGCCAAGGGTAAGCTCGTCTTCTCCTACCTCTGCCAGGCCCCCCGGCAGCTGGAATCGGGAGCCCGGCAGAGTCAGAGAGTTGTCGGTGAGACTTAGACTTTCAGGACCTTGTAGGGCTGGGCTCGGGAGTTTGGGCTTTATTTCAAGCGCAGTGAGGACCCACAGGTAGTTCTTGAGTTAGCGCAAGCCTCGTGCTCAGATTTGTATTTTCGAGCTTCAAAATGGAGTAGGATGGGGGACGAGGCCAGAGAAACTCTGTGGGGTCCCTCACGCTGTTGGGTGTGGTAAGGAGGGGGCCTTTCTACTGCCGGGGAGTAGGGAGCCATGGCAGGTTCTGAGCAAGGGAGGGGTAGGGGCCTGGGGAAGGATGGGAGGACGGGAGGGGCTGGAGGGAGATGTGGGACCTGGTGTCTGGGGTTGGGGGGGGGCCGAGAGGCCGGGGGGGGGGGGAGCAAGGAGCCGAGTGCGCGGCTCAGGTTTCTGGCTTGCCAGGGAGAGGGGATGTTGTTCCGTTCCCGAGGCTTTGCTGGTCAGCACGTGTTAGGCTGGCCAAGGGCTCAGTCTGACCCCCAGGGATTACTGCTCTGTCCCGGAACCAGGTCGGACTTCCTGACACCCTGCAGCAGGACGGAGAGTCTGTGCCCCGACCCCGGCGCACATCAGTAGCAAGTTCCACTGCAGGCTTCCTTCCGTACCCCTCTCTCCTGCCCCAGCCCACCTTCTTCCGGGGCTGGCTTTCTTGTCTCTTCCCATCCACTAGTGCCTCCCGTTCTTTGACCTGGAACATCTTGCCCGATGCTCCTCGGCCCCCAGCTACCTCCCACTCATCCTTCAGTTTGGCTGGTTACGGATGGCCCCTGTTCGAGGAAGCCCTTCCTGACCCCAGGCTGCGTCAGGCTCCCCCGTCCCAACCCTGTCTGGTCACCTGGTCACTCACTGGGGAGAGGACCGTGTCCCCATCGTTAGACTGCGAGCCCTGAGAGGGCAGGGCCAGAGCTGTCTTGGTTCCCACTGTGTCCCCAGTACAGAGCTGGGCGTAGAGAACTCGATTTTTTTTTTTTTTTTTTAAACTAGGTGAAATTGAGTATGTGAGTTCATTCATTCACCTATTTTTTTTTTTTTTTCTTTTTGATGCTTGTCTTAGTGTGTGTGCATGCACACACAGGAGAGAAGCAGGGAAAGAGGGAGCGAGAATCCCAAGCAGGCTCCGCACTGCCGGTGCAAAGCCCTACACGGGGCACAAACCCCCAAACTGTGAGATCATGACCTGAACCGAAACCAAGGGTCAGTGGCTCAACCAACCGAGACACCCAGACGACCCCATTCACCTGTTTGTTTGTTTTTTTTTTCCAACAAACAGGCCAGGCCCCGCACTGGGGAAGTGACAGGAATCAAGAGGGACCTCATTTCTGACCTCCTGGAACTTATATTGTAGAAAGGAAGACAGGTAGCAAAGACTCAGATAAGAAAGATGATTCTAAAAAGGGATCATTTTCTAAAAAAGGAGAAACAAAAACATTGCCTGTTGGAGCATGCCTGCGGTGGCTGGGGTGACCAGGGGAGGCCTGAGGCGTGGACATTTAAGCAGAGTCCCAAATGACCAAATGGAACCAGCTGCCTTGGGAATCTTTTCGGACTGTGGGTCCAGCAAGTGCAAAGGCCCTGGGGTGGAGTGAGCCCGGTGGTTTTTGAAAGTTAGGAGGCCTGTGAGTGAGGAAATGGAGTCAGCATGGCAGGGTCCTGGATGATTTTGCACCTTGAGAGGGGTGTGGGGAGCTATACCGGGCTTCTGAGCAGGGCAGGGATATGACCTGACTTAGGATTTCACAGGGTCTCTCTGGCTGCTGGGAAGGGAGCGGGGGTGGGAGCTGGAAGCCCAGTGAGGTGGTGACTGCAGTGGTCCAGGCCAGAGGTGATGGTCTTGGGAAGGGGGTTGGAGGAGTGGTCAGGTTGCAGATGGGCTTTGGAGGCAGAGCTGACCAGCCTGATGGGTTGGATAGATCTAGGGGAAAGGCTCCAGGCTCTGGCTTGAGTGGCGGGGTGGGTTCTCGTGGCTCTGGGAGAGTCAGGAGTAAACCTTTGGTGCTCTCTGTTCGTGATGCTGAGTGGGTGTCGGCTCTGGGAGAAGCGGACAGGTTGGGGCGTATGTTGGACTCTGGATGCCTGGGTCTGAAGCTGGGGCAAAGGGTTGGTGGTCCCGGTCACTAATGGAGGAGGGTGTGGCCGGTGGGCGTGGCTCCGACTAGTGACCTGGAATCTCCCTGGCTCGCAGGTTTCACCATCATCATCGAGCCCTTTGATGACAGGACCCCCACCATTGCCAACCCCATCCTGCACTTCAGGTGAGACCCCACCCCGGTGGGGGGTGTGAACGGACCACAGGGGCCCCAGCGTGGCCCTCGACACCCTCTTCTGCTTCCTGCAGCTGCATGGACGCTTCCCTGGCCATCAAACCCGTGTTCGAGCGCTTCCAGTCTGTCATAATCACATCTGGGGTGAGGACCCTTTTCTGCCCCCAGTCCCCAGCCCCCCATTGTGGGGTTCCTGGCCCAGTCCTGCTGAGGTCCCGCCTGCTGTCTCTGCTACAGACGCTGTCCCCACTGGACATCTACCCCAAGATTCTGGACTTCCATCCTGTCACCATGGCAACCTTCACCATGACGCTGGCCCGGGTGTGCCTCTGCCCGATGGTGCGTGGGAGAGGGTGGGTGCTGGGGCAGGGGAGATGGGAATGGGGGCCGCCTTTCCTCCCTCTGTGCTGTTGCTCAGGCAGGAGAGTTTTACAGCTGAGGGCACAGACTCTGGATTCAGAGACAGACCTGGGGTTGATGTCCCGGTAGGGAGGACTTTCCAAGCCTCAGTTTTAATCTGTAAAATGGGAATGCATCCTCTCTGACGTCCCAGGCTGCTTGAGGGGATAGTGAGATAAGGGGCATAAAACGCTTCTGCAGCCCAGGGCCTGCCAGTAGGCACTCCGTCAACATCTCGGTTAACGTGGCTTTGCCTGGTGCGTCATCGGGCCGTAACGTTGGCGAGTGACCTTTCTGCTTTGCCTCAGTTTCCTTTGTAAACAGGTATCAAAACATGGGCCCTCCGTCCTTTATCTGAATCCCTTGGGCCAGACGTATTTTATTTTTTTTAAGCTTATTTTGTGAGAGAGAGCGCGCGAGCGGGGGGGGGGGGGGGGGCAGAGAGGGGGGGAGAGAGAATCTCAAGCAGGCTCTGCACTGCCAGCACAGAGCCCAGCGTGGGGCTTGAACTCCCGAACCGTGAGATCATGACCTGAGCTGAGATCAAGAGTCAGACGCTTAACCAACTGAGCCACCCAGGTGCCCTGGCCAGGTGTATGTTAGAATTGAGACTTTTCCTGGGGCACCTGGGTGGCTCAGTTGGTTGTCTGACTTCGGCTCAGGTCATGATCTCACTGCTTGTGAGTTTGAGCCCTGCATCGGGCTCTGTGTTGACAGCTCAGAGCCTGGAGCCTGCTTCGGATTCTGTGTCTCCGGCTTTCTACCCCTCCCCCGCTACTGCGCGCTCGCTCGCTCTCAAAAATAAACGTTAAAAAAAAAATTTAGAATTGAGACTTTTCCAGACTTTAAAAACAAAGCACGTGCCGTGTGGTATGTCAACATGGCCGGCAGGGTCTGGGCAGCTCCCTCCAGTGCAAGTCGTGTTTTAGGAGGAAGAGGTTTTAAGACGTCAAAGGGAGGCAAGCCGGGACTCTGAACAGACTCCGGTCGGAGCAGATTCTGCTGTCGTACGTGTTTGTGCCGAATTCAAATAGCTGGAGTTTCTGGAGTTTTTTGGCTCTTGGAATTGCCCTTGGGGGTCATGGACTGGTGGTGACCGCGTACTGCGTTGTGGTTTTGTGGAGGTGCCTCGGGAGGGACGCGCCAGGGGCTGGTGGCTGTCGAGGTCGGGGTGACACGTTCTCCTGGAGCCGCCTGACCTCAAGGCTGGGGCCAGTAGAATACACTTGCTGGTTAGCGACACGGACAGACGGGTTCAGTCCTGCCTCTGCCGTTTATTTGCCGTGTGACCTTGGGCAGGCAACTCACCTTCTCAGAGCCTTAGGTCATTCATCTGTGCTGGGCAGATAACAGTGTAGTTGAGGGTTCGTTCAGTGACATAGCGTCTATAAAAAGCTGAGCACAGCACTAGCTGGCAGCTAACACATTAGAGTGGTGACTGCCAGTTGCTTACCATGATGGCTCTCGCTCTCTCCAGATCATTGGTCGGGGCAATGACCAGGTGGCCATCAGCTCCAAATTTGAGACCCGGGAAGATATTGGTATGCTGCTCGCGGGGCTGGGTGCATGGGTTGCGAGAGGGGAGGTGTATCAATGGGCTGAGTCATGCCGCAGTAACAAATAGCCCTGAATCAGAGTGGCTTAACACGGAGGGTGCTTCTTGCTCGTGGTGTGTGCCATTGTGGGTTGGGCGGGGGGGGCCTCCCCAGGTGTCCCCTCCCTCTGGGCACCTTCACTGTTGGACACATCGTGGCGGTGGGGAGATGTGACGGGAGGGATCCTGGTGATCGTGCTGTGCCTCCTAAAGGCGTTCGGCCCCCAGAAGTGACTCCCGGCCACTCATTTCATTGATCAAGACGAGTCACGTGGCCACACCTAACCTGAGGGGTCCGCCCACGGGGCTGGAAAGAGAAGTGGAGTGTGTGTGAACAGCCCTGCGGCCTCCGTGGGGTTTCTGGGGACCCCGAGTTGAAGATAGGGCACTAGAGGGGCATCTGAGTAGCTCAGTCTCAGCTCAGGTCTTGAGCTCAGGGTCGTGAGTTCAAGTGGAGCCTACTTTAAAAAAAAAAACCAAAAAGCCAAAACCAGGGCATTAGGGAGAAGCGCTCTGACAGGGAGTGGGGAGGACGACCGAGGCCGCCCTCCAACTCCTCCCAGCGGTGATCCGGAACTACGGGAACCTCCTGCTGGAGATGTCCGCCGTGGTCCCCGACGGCATCGTGGCCTTCTTCACCAGCTATCAGTACATGGAGAGCACCGTGGCCTCCTGGTACGAGCAGGTACGCCCAGCCGCCCTCTCCCCGGAAGTCCCCTCTTCCCTCAGCGTGTTTCCTTTGTCTTGCATTCTGAGTGGCGACGGGCACCACACGTGACGGGACAGCGTGTGGAACACAGCGAACAGTTCGAAGAATACACAGTGTGTACCCTTGCACGTGCCTCTCCCCCCTCCCCCCCTCCAGGTTAAAAACTCGAGCCCCTGCTAGGCAGTGTGTGGGTGAGGTCATGGGCCTTCTGGAAAAGGGGCTCAGGCACAGCTGGGCACCGGGTGGCTGCTGTGACCTCTCTCCTGGTGCACCATGGCCCAGCTCTCGGGGGGGAAAGCGGGTACTTCCTGAGGGCGAGATGAGAGAACGTGGCTGATCCAAGCACCCAGGAACAGAGGGGGGGGAGGGGCCTCACCCTCTCGGCCAAGACCTTCGTTTTGTCCTCACGTGGGCGCTTCCCGCACGGTGGGGAAGGTGGCTTCCGGCCACCTGAATCCACATCCTGAGTGGTGTCCTCTTTAAGAAGACTTCGCCTGGCCCAGGGTCACGAAGGTGGTCTCGTGTGTGTCTTCTAGAAGCCTTGTGGTTCTGGCTTTCACATCTGGGTCTGTGAGTTACTTCAGATTCGTCCTTGTGTAGGGGGTAAGGTCAGGGCCCAGGTTCTTTTTTCTCCGTGTGGAGAAGTGGAAGGCACTCTCCCCACTGGAGACGGACACAGGTACGGATGACCTGTGTGGGGGTGCGTTTCTGGACCCTCTGGTCTGTCCCCATGTCCGTCCTTGATCTCACCCAGTTAAACGCAGTGTCACAGGAAATCCCTGGGCAGCCTCTGTTTGGCTCTGCCTGACCTACATCAGCCTCTCTACTAACCACCAGCCGGGGGCCGGAGTGTCCCAGTGGGCCACCTCGGACCATATGGCTGCCCCACTTGTCCGAAGGATGGCGTGCGGGGGTTGCCCCCCCCCACCCGCCGCACATCACAGAGCTTCCCACAAGGAAGGCTGAAGGAAGGTGCAAGCCTGGCACACAGGAGCTGGGGCAGAGCTGGGTTTAGCCAGGATGCCTGTGCCCTTAGTCCACTTCCGGCCCACCCGCAGCCCGACCTGCCTGGTGTCCTTCCCTAGGGCATTCTCGAAAACATCCAGAGGAACAAGCTGCTCTTCATCGAGACACAAGATGGGGCCGAGACCAGTGTCGCCCTGGAGAAGTACCAGGAGGTGGGTAGGGGCGTGGGGGATGCCAGGAGACTGCGTGCAGAGGGCCTGAAGGAGGCGGCTCCGAGGGCACGCAGCTCCTGTCTCGGCCTCCCCTCCCCAGGCCTGCGAGAACGGCCGCGGAGCCATCCTGCTGTCAGTGGCCCGAGGCAAAGTGTCCGAGGGAATTGACTTTGGTGAGTGGACTAGCTCTCCTCTCCTCCCCCCCCCCC